TGTCCCTGACGGTGTCCCCATGTCCCTGACGGTGTCCCCGTGTCCCTGACGGTGTCCCCATGTCCCCGTGTCCCTGACGGTGTCCCCGTGTCCCTGACCGTGTCCCCATGTCCCCGTGTCCCTGACGGTGTCCCCATGTCCCTGACGGTGTCCCCATGTCCCTGACGGTGTCCCCATGTCCCCGTGTCCCTGACGGTGTCCCCGTGTCCCTGACGGTGTCCCCGTGTCCCTGACGGTGTCCCCGTGTCCCCAGACAAGGACCCCCTGGCTCACAAGAAGGTTTCCAGCCTCACCATCAACTTTGGGCCTCAGCACCCGGCGGCGCACGGGGTCCTGCGGCTGGTGCTGGAGCTGAGCGGGGAGACGGTGAAACGCTGCGACCCCCACGTGGGGCTGCTGCACCGCGGCACCGAGAAACTCATCGAGTACAAAACCTACCTGCAGGTACCTGCAGAATTCCCATTCCCTGGAATTCCCATTCCCTGGGATCCCCAATTCCTGGGATTCCCAATCCCTGGGATTCCCTGGATTCCCATTCCCTGGGATCCCCAATCCCTGGGATTCCCTGACATTCCCATTTCCCTGTGCCCCCCACGTGGGGCTGCTGCACCGCGGCACCGAGAAACTCATCGAGTACAAAACCTACCTGCAGGTACCTGCAGAATTCCCGGGATTCCCAATTCCCTGGGATTCCAATTCCCTGGGATTCCCAGTCCCTGGGATTCTCTGGATTCCCATTCCCTGGAATTCCCATTTCCCTGGGATCCCCAATTCCTGGGATTCCCCAATCCCTGGGATTCCCTGAGATTCCCATTTCCCTGTGCCCCCCACGTGGGGCTGCTGCACCGCGGCACCGAGAAACTCATCGAGTACAAAACCTACCTGCAGGTACCTGCAGAATTCCCGGGATTCCCAATTCCCTGGGATTCCCAATCCCTGAGATTCCCAATCCCTGGGATTCCCTGGATTCCCATTCCCTGGATTCCCATTCCCTGGGATTCCCTGACATTCCCATTTCCCCGTGCCCCCCACGTGGGGCTGCTGCACCGCGGCACCGAGAAACTCATCGAGTACAAAACCATTCCCTGGGATTCCCTGGATTCCCATTTCCTGGATTCCATTTCCCTGGGATCCCCATTTCCCGGGATCCCCCAGTCCCATTCCAGGACTGTCCGTGTGTCCATCCCCGATCCCATTCCAGAACCTTCCATTTCCCCTCTCTGCCCCACTCCCACCTCAACCTTTTCCCCCCACCCCAGCGCCGCTCCTCCCATTCCCGCCATTCCCAGCATTCCCAAACCTTTCCTTTCCCGCCATTCCCGGCATTCCCAAACCTTTCCTTTCCCGCCATTCCCGGCATTCCCAAACCTTTCCTTTCCCGCCATTCCCGGCATTCCCAAACCTTTCCTTTCCCGCCATTCCCGGCATTCCCAAACCTTTCCTTTCCCGCCATTCCCGGCATTCCCAAACCTTTCCTTTCCCGCCATTCCCGGCATTCCCAAACCTTTCCTTTCCCGCCATTCCCGGCATTCCCAAACCTTTCCTTTCCCGCCATTCCCGGCATTCCCAAACCTTTCCTTTCCCGCCATTCCCGGCATTCCCAAACCTTTCCTTTCCCGCCATTCCCGGCATTCCCAAACCTTTCCTTTCCCGCCATTCCCGGCATTCCCAAACCTTTCCTTTCCCGCCATTCCCGGCATTCCCAAACCTTTCCTTTCCCGCCATTCCCGGCATTCCCAAACCTTTCCTTTCCCGCCATTCCCGGCATTCCCAAACCTTTCCTTTCCCGCCATTCCCGGCATTCCCAAACCTTTCCTTTCCCGCCATTCCCGGCATTCCCAAACCTTTCCTTTCCCGCCATTCCCGGCATTCCCAAACCTTTCCTTTCCCGCCATTCCCGGCATTCCCAAACCTTTCCTTTCCCGCCATTCCCGGCATTCCCAAACCTTTCCTTTCCCGCCATTCCCGGCATTCCCAAACCTTTCCTTTCCCGCCATTCCCGGCATTCCCAAACCTTTCCTTTCCCGCCATTCCCGGCATTCCCAAACCTTTCCTTTCCCGCCATTCCCGGCATTCCCAAACCTTTCCTTTCCCGCCATTCCCGGCATTCCCAAACCTTTCCTTTCCCGCCATTCCCGGCATTCCCAAACCTTTCCTTTCCCGCCATTCCCGGCATTCCCAAACCTTTCCTTTCCCGCCATTCCCGGCATTCCCAAACCTTTCCTTTCCCGCCATTCCCGGCATTCCCAAACCTTTCCTTTCCCGCCATTCCCGGCATTCCCAAACCTTTCCTTTCCCGCCATTCCCAACCCTTTCCCTTCCCGCCATTCCCGCCATTCCCAACCCTCTCCCGTCCCATTTTCCCGCCATTCCCGCCATTCCCAACCCATTCCTGCCATTCCCAACCCGTTCCCGCCATTCCCAAACCTTTCCCGCCATTCCCGCACCGTTCCCGCCGTTCCCAACCCATTTTCCCGCCATTCCTGCCATTCCCAACCCTTTCCCTTCCTGCCTTTCCCACCATTCCCGCCACTCCCGCCATTCCCAACCCTCTCCCTTCCTGCTTTTCCCGCCATTCCCAAACCTTTCCCGCCATTCCCGCACCGTTCCCGCCGTTCCCAACCCATTTTCCCGCCATTCCTGCCATTCCCAACCCTTTCCCTTCCTGCCTTTCCCACCATTCCCGCCACTCCCGCCATTCCCAACCCTCTCCCTTCCTGCTTTTCCCGCCATTCCCAAACCTTTCCCGCCATTCCCGCACCGTTCCCGCCGTTCCCAACCCATTTTCCCGCCATTCCTGCCATTCCCAACCCTTTCCCTTCCTGCCTTTCCCACCATTCCCGCCACTCCCGCCATTCCCAACCCTCTCCCTTCCTGCTTTTCCCGCCATTCCCAAACCTTTCCCGCCATTCCCGCACCGTTCCCGCCGTTCCCAACCCATTTTCCCGCCATTCCTGCCATTCCCAACCCTTTCCCTTCCTGCCTTTCCCACCATTCCCGCCACTCCCGCCATTCCCAACCCTCTCCCTTCCTGCTTTTCCCGCCATTCCCAAACCTTTCCCGCCATTCCCGCACCGTTCCCGCCGTTCCCAACCCATTTTCCCGCCATTCCTGCCATTCCCAACCCTTTCCCTTCCTGCCTTTCCCACCATTCCCGCCACTCCCGCCATTCCCAACCCTCTCCCTTCCTGCTTTTCCCGCCATTCCCAAACCTTTCCCGCCATTCCCGCACCGTTCCCGCCGTTCCCAACCCATTTTCCCGCCATTCCTGCCATTCCCAACCCTTTCCCTTCCTGCCTTTCCCACCATTCCCGCCACTCCCGCCATTCCCAACCCTCTCCCTTCCTGCTTTTCCCGCCATTCCCAAACCTTTCCCGCCATTCCCGCACCGTTCCCGCCGTTCCCAACCCATTTTCCCGCCATTCCTGCCATTCCCAACCCTTTCCCTTCCTGCCTTTCCCACCATTCCCGCCACTCCCGCCATTCCCAACCCTCTCCCTTCCTGCTTTTCCCGCCATTCCCAAACCTTTCCCGCCATTCCCGCACCGTTCCCGCCGTTCCCAACCCATTTTCCCGCCATTCCTGCCATTCCCAACCCTTTCCCTTCCTGCCTTTCCCACCATTCCCGCCACTCCCGCCATTCCCAACCCTCTCCCTTCCTGCTTTTCCCGCCATTCCCAAACCTTTCCCGCCATTCCCGCACCGTTCCCGCCGTTCCCAACCCATTTTCCCGCCATTCCTGCCATTCCCAACCCTTTCCCTTCCTGTTTTTCCCGCCATTCCCAAACCATTCCCGCCATTCCCAACCCTCTCCCTTCCTGCTTTTCCCACCATTCCCAATCCATTCCCGCTATTCCCAAACCTTTCCCTTCCCGCCATTCCCAACCCTTTCCCTTCCCGTTTTTCCCGCCATTCCCAACCCATTTTCCCGCC